CGGGGGTGGGGGGTGAAACGCTGGAATACATTGCCCAGGTGAACAGGCCACCGGGCACAGAGCACTTGAGTCCCTGTTGGGTCCCCCCCTCGGGGCACCCGGCACTGGCCACGGTCGGCAGACAGGCTACTCACCTGGAAGGACCTTTGGTCTGACCCCGTAGGACCGCTCCTATGGTCTGATTGGGGGATTGTTAAAACTCTGGCTAAGGCAGCACAGATCACATCACTTATACTGGACTTTCCTGAGCTACAGCACAGAGCACTTGAGTCCCTGTTGGGTCCCCCCCTCGGGGCACCCGGCACTGGCCACGGTCGGCAGACAGGCTACTCACCTGGAAGGACCTTTGGTCTGACCCCGTAGGACCGCTCCTATGGTCTGATTGGGGGATTGTTAAAACTCTGGCTAAGGCAGCACAGATCACATCACTTATACTGGACTTTCCTGAGCTACAGCACAGAGTCCATGCCTCACCTGGTGCAGGACTCAAGTCTGCACAGGGTCAGTGTCACTCACTAGTGACCAGGACACCTAGTGCTAATTACCAAATGACCTGTGGGAGAGGGCGAACACTGAAGGGTTCTCTGTAAGATGTAGGGGATGCTGTGGCTGTGGAGGAACCCTTCAGTGCAATATACCATGCTACGTGGGTGTGGAGTCCGTTTGCTCAGAATCTCTGCTTTGGTCACAGGTGTAGTGAAAACACTTTTCTGCTGTGTTTGGCAGAGTAGAGAATGGCTGTGGTTCCTTCTTGCCTTAGAATCAGCTGAATCAGAGCACCCTTATCAGTAGACTGAGTTAGGCTCACAAAAACAGGGATACCCATCACTGGTTTAGACACTGGAAACGATCCATTTCTGACTAGAAATCTCTTCAAAACATGGTGTAAGAGTCATGTTTTACTGACTGTATGCACCCAAAAGCAGCACTTGTCAAAACTTGATAAACATTCAGCTGTTTTTCTTAAGTGGCTTGCTTTCAAAATAAAAGTATTGTTACAGTGTTGTAACAGACTGTGAGGGACTCCAAGAAGACCTCACCAAACTGAGTGATTGGGCAACAAAATGGCAAATGAAATTTAATGCGGATAAGTGTAAAGTAATGCACATCAGGAAAAATAACCCCAACTATAGGTACGGTATGATGGGGGCTAATTTGGCTTTGACAAATCAGGAAAGAGATCTTGGAGTTATCATGGATAGTTCTCTGAAAACTTCCACACAGTGTGCAGCGGCGGTCAAAAAGGCAAATAGGATGCTAGGAATTATTAAGAAAGGGATAGAAAATAAGACCCAGAATATCTTACTGCCCCTGTATAAAACTATGGTACGCCCACATCTTGAATACTGTGTACAGATGTGGTCTCCTCACCTCAAAAAAGATATTTTGGCCTTGCAAAGGGTTCAGAAAAGGGCAACTAAAATGATTAGGGGTTTGGACCGGGTCCCATATGAGGAGAGGTTAAAGCGACTGGGACTCTTCAGTTTAGAAAAGAGGAGACTGAGGGGGGATATGATAGAGGTCTATAAAATCATGAGTGGTGTGGAGAGGGCCGATAAAGAAAAGTTATTTATTAGTTCCCTAAATAGAAGAACTAGAGGACACCAAATGAAATCAATGGGGAGCAGGTTTAAAACTAATAAAAGAAAGTTCTTCTTCACACAGCGTGTTGTCAACCTGTGGAACTCCTTGCCAGAGGAGGCTGTGAAGGCTAGGACTATAACAGAGGTTAAAGAGAAGCTAGATAATTTCATGGAGGTTAGGTCCAGAAAAGGCTATTAGCCAGGGGATAAAATGGTGTCCCTGGCCTCTGTTTGTCAGAGGCTGGAGAGGGATGGCAGGAGACAAATCGCTTGATCGTTGTCTTCAGTCCACCCTCCCTGGGGCACCTTGTGCTGGCCACTGTCGGCAGACAGGCTACTGGGCTAGATGGACCTTTGGTCTGACCCAGTACAGCCGTTCTTATGTTCTTATGTGATGGGTTTTTAGGGCCAAGACTGACATGCAGGAATATTAAACGCTCTCTTCTTTGGAACACATAATTGCTGCCCTCTACTGCTAAGAGTTGAGAGTGCCCACAAAAAGCAAGCCTGAGAGTATATATCTCTCTTTAAATGGTAAAAAAGGGATATTTTTTCCTCATATAAACTACAGATTTTTATTATTAATCTATCTAAATAGGAAAACGTACAAAAACGTGTCCTTAACCATGTAACAAGAATATTAATGTAGTCTCCTAATTCTACAACATAGCAAAAGAAGCCACCAATTGACTGGTTTTTAGCCTGTGCTTGACAATCTTTGTTTCCCTGGAGTGAAGACTGAATCACTTCTCCCTGGAGGGGAAAAAAGCACAGTTTGAGAGATTATCCAATGATTTGTAATTGCTTGCCTAGAAAACTGAACTGTTTTCTATGGAGATGCTGACATAGCTAAAACTAGCACAAAATTAAATATGTACCTCTGAATACTTCATTTGCTAAACTGGATATGGTTTTTTCATCAAACATTCTTTCAAACTAAAACATAGGGTCTCTCATCCCAAAATAAACATTTAATTTTCTGGCACATAGCTGCATTTCCAGGACAATGCCACACAAAAAGTGGCAGACTGCTTTTCATCCTCTTTGTTTTACAGCCTCCCCTTGTTAGAGTCATGAATTGGGTCCAATTCAGCACGGGTGTTACTCCAGTTATTCAAGGATTACCTGAAATCCATGGAGCTGCACCAGTGTAACACTGGAGCAATGCAGTGCAGAATCGGGCCCTTATGCTAAAACTTCTGGGAACAATGAAGTTATCAATGGAATATACAAGGAGTCCTGTGGCACCTTCAGACTGACATTTATTTGGACATAAGCTTTGGTGGGACATTTTTGGTGGTTGTATTTAAATCATGGCCACTCACTTGTTTATCTGCTTGGTGTCTGCTTGTCTTTTTCTGGGTGAAATTCTCTGAGGGTACAGAGGTCAGCACCAAGCATATGCAAGAGCGTTGCATAGATACGGTGGTAGCCCTCTGCTCTGGGGAGAGTTGCACCCACTTACATTAGAAGATCACACAGAGTAGAGGAAATGGCTGAGATGAACGGCTCATAGATGAGGGATGTCTCCTTGGCATGTGACATCAGGGTGGTCAAATATTGGAATAAATTGCCAAGGGAGGTGGTGGAATCTCCCTCTCTGGAGATATTTAAGAACAGGTTAGATAGACATCTATCAGGGATGGTGTAGACAGAGCTTGGTCCTGCCTTGAGGGCGGGGGGCTGGACTCGATGACCTCTTGAGGTCCCTTCCAGTCCTATTATTCTATGATTCTATGATTTGCATCATCTTTAGAATAAGGACCCAAATGCTGGGTTTTGGTCGGAAGATGGCAAACATTCTGATCATGTACCACATGTATTTACACTGCGATCATTAAATGCTGAATTAAAAACAGCACTTGTGACACTTGTCAACGCATCTACCCAGAAATGTTCAGTGCAGCAGTATCTGCCTTTGAAAATCAAAGGTATCTAGCACATTGCAATGCCCTTCTTTGGCCTTCAGCATGGGTTTAGTAAGACAGATGGAAGAAAGTGACTCATTCAAGATAATACCGAGCCAGTGCTTCAACCTCCAGCTCCAGGTCCCTCCTGGCTCCCTGTTTCTTTGCCATGCTTCCTTTGCCGTTTGTGTCTGTAGTCCATCAAGAGCAGGTGAATGCAAAAACCAAAGGCAACAGGCTTCTGCGGTATGGAAGTGGATTTGTAATGTTAAGCTTACCCGGCGATGTCATCTGATCCGAGGAAGCTAGTCCTCTCACTTTTACTTTGCTCCGTCACTTTAATATTCCCTTCGGCCTGCATTTCTCCAACCATGTTGCTAGCATGACATTGGTAAACACCCTCGTCTTCCTTCGCCAGCGGGTTGATCTGCCAAACCAAAGGGGAGAAGTCTCAGCAAGCGAACAGTCAGATACAAAAGGGCAGCTGTAAATCACGTCTGGGTAAGAATGAAAAATCTGAAGGCTCTTCGATTTCCTCCTTCAAAACAAGGGCTAAAATGTCTGGTTTAAAGCTGGCCTGCTGGGTTGTAGGAACTTCCACTCTACTTTACACTTCCACCCTGCTCAGTCACTTCTGAGTACCTTCCAAGGGACTGTACCCTCATTGTGACGTCCTGTATTTTCTGTCTGGAAAAACTTCCAAAATCAGCCTGTCCCCCATCTCCCACCACCACCGCGCTCGGTTCTGTCTGCTCTGTTGGACTTACCAAGACCCAGCCTGTGCTCTCATGTTTCGAAGGCCCTCCACGCACCTGGACTGCCATGTTTGCTCTGTCTCCAGGCAGTTCTTCCAGCAGCTTAACCCCCTTGGGTGACTCCGTGACCTGTGGGGTTTGTGACAGCGGCACTGTTAGCCCAGCTGAGGGACGCTTCCAAAGCAGCGCGCTCCTCAGCACTCTTGGTGCCTCTGCTCTTGGCCGGCAGGCGCGTAAGGAGTTGCAGTCGACGCTAGCTCCTGCAGTGTGCGCCAGTGCCTCCCCGAGAGACGCGCACACCAGGAGAAGCCACGCACTGACCTGTCCTGGGGGCACTCTAAGAGGAGGGGGTACGGCCAGGGGCGTGAGGCAGAGCCTAGTGCGGGGCCAGGCGGCCCTGGGGCAGCGCCTCCCCCTTGCACCGTGGCAGGCAGCTGCTTGCAGCCCTGCTCTGCCCAGCCTGCTGCTGGCACAAGCGGACTGTTCTCTGCACCCGCCCAGCCAGTGCCGCCCGTGGGGCTCCTTTTACCCCTCCCCCTGGGCCCGTACGTGGTGGGTGTGCGGGGGAACGTAGCACGTGGGATCGGAACGGCCACACCGCTGGAGGTCACGTTCCGGTGCCTGCACGGGAGCACCTAGTGTGAACGCTTTGGCATTAGTGCCTCGCTGCCTTTGCGCAGGGTCTGCCCCAAAGCCTTAGCTCTCTGGGCACCCCCCTTTCTAAGCCCACAAGGGGCAGAGATTTCCTTCCCAGCCTGCGGCTCTTCCTTCCTGCCCTGCTGCTGCTCTGAGCACTCCGTACACAGATGTCACCACCGCCCCTGTCAGCCCAGAATCCCCCCTCACCCCCTAGCCAGGCCAGGCCAACATTCAACCTGCGCCCGGCATTGGGGTTAGGGTATTCCTTCCTTCCGCCCCCTCGGGAGTGTCCGCAGGCCAGGCCCCAGGCTGCTGGAAGTCAGCGATGCTCCCCTGCTCCACCGCTCATTTCCAGCCGCCGAGGAGCCCAACACCCCAACCTCACCCCCCTCGGGGAGGCACTGGCAGGGGTTCTCGGCCCGTTTCCAGATGGGCCACGCTAGCGCACCAAGGGAATTACTGCTCTCCGCTGTCAGGTTAACGTCATGGACCACTGTCATTGTGAACATCCACCTGCAATCGGACACGGCAACGGAGGACAAGAAACAGGCCAAATCCCCTCCTGGTGAAGCCTGCTCTTACAGCCCAGAGACAGCCTGTGCCGGTGAATGGGTCTGGCCCCAGGTCAGTTTCTCTGTCTTACACACAATGGTGCTGTGTGACACCGTGGCTCAGATGGGCTCAGACGCTGGCATACCTTTCTCCAGGTGATCACGGGCGTGGGAACTGCCTTCACTTCACACGACAGGTACACTTGGGCACCAGTTACATTATGAATCTTTTTTGGTGGTACAACAATCACAGGAGCTGGAAAGAACAAGAACATTTCCGTTCTAGTGTGTCTACGTGGTACCGCTCAAGTTCTCAATGCCACGGGCCAGTCTGCAACATAAAGAAACACAGATTCCTCCTCCAACCAGAGCTGATTCAGGAGCAAAGGTTTGGCTCTGCCTCTAAACCAGGGGCAACAGAAATGGTTCTAAGCTTTTATTTTAGAAAGCTTTTGGCCCTTCCAGCAGGGAACCCTGGCTTCATTACAGAAATCAGATGGAGTCTTTAGTGTATCTGCCACCAGCCAAACTGGACCCGCGATGTAATGCAGCCCACTCCGCTTAGCTGCATCTTACGCTCCAGTCCTGTAGCGAGGTGGATGTGAGCCATCAGCAGCGGGAGATACACCTCGCTGCAGGATCAGGGCCGGCCATGCCTAGCTGTCACCACTGAACAGCTGCTGTATTCCGGCGAGGCAAACTACTCTAAACCCTGAAACTCGCTGCCACGTAAAAACCCCAAACATGCCCCCATTTGGAAACGTACAGACTGCATTTCCGGTGCTAGGTTGTCCTGGAGAGGACGTAGTGAAAGCTGCACCCAGATTTCTATAATAATCCCATTTTCTACCCCTTCCGTTGGAGTAACGGAATTGTTTGCAGATTGTGCACAGCGCCGTTGTAGCTGGGGTTGTCCCAGCTTATCAGAGAGACAAGATGGGCAAGTTAATGTCTTTTACTGGACCAACTTCTGTGGGGAGAGGAAGATACCCCCCGCCACCACCTCGTTTGCAGACTGCAAGCTCTCAACAGGCGAGACGAATATGAGAGATCGTGGTTAATTTAAGATTACAGCCTTCTGGGTGCTACATCATCCACATGTCGCTAGGGTTCCAAAAGATTCCCGATCAAACCGATGACCGGCTCTCAGGAGAACATGGCCCACGCTCTCTGAGCGGAACAGTGACCAAGCCCTCACCCCGCCACATTTCTGGGAATGCCACGAGCTACAGACGCGCTCAGCCAGGGTCATGCTCACAGAGGGAGTGTTCGAAAAAGGAAGCTGTTTAATGACTGTTTGCTGTTACGGGCTGGATCCCTGATGCTGAAAGAGATCACTAAGACTGTACTTTGACCCTGCAACGCCAGGAGCTTAATTTTACGCAAGTGAGTAGGGCCCCTGAAAGCATTACAAGCGTATTTATCTCGCTTTTTAAAACACAGTCATGACAAATGTCTTGTCCCGGTTAGCAGCCTCTTACACAAAAGCCATTGACAAAATGTCGCAATGCCAACAAATCAGGACTAGATTTCTAACTGAAGCTAACAGTTCAGTGGAAGAAGGCGCACCGGAAAGGAAAGGGCCTACAGCAGAAGGCCTTCCCGATGTTCAGATGTTTTCATTTCCCCATATTGCTCATTTTTCTTTCATATGAACAGCTTTGTTATCATATCTATAGCAACATGTATGCAGAACAGCAGTCTTCCTCATCGTGTGCAACCTTGCCAGATTAAGCCAATTTCCCACTTGCATGTCCTGCCTCGACAAAGAAAGGGAATTTAGAAACAGTCGCCTTGGATTCCCTACTAGCAGCTCTCTTCCTCCTCAGAAGACAATTAGCACAGGAGGAAATCTCTGAGTTTGTCAATACCCAGGAACTCTCCCGCAGTTCTGATTTCTAATCCTGCCTGCCAAACGAAAGCTCAGCTCTCCACAGTGCATACCATGGAGCCCCACTGTGCAGACCCATCACGCCTGGCACCTGGGACGCCTTTTGATCTCTAGTCAGTCGGAGGACGCATGCAGAATATTGAACACTGTGAACTCAGCTGGTACGAACATAGACTGTGTGTCCCTTTGGCACCTGGCACAGGCACACCCCTCTTTGGAAAAGAGAAGAGAAGGAAAAGAGGCCATCTGTTACAAGGTACTCCGTCTTTAAAATGACCACGGACAACTGAATGTTTGCAGTTCTGCTGCTTGACTGAGTCGGTAAAGAAGAGAAAGCATCCTATTCTGAATGTGGAGAAATTCCCTTTGGATTCAGGGATTAATACCTGCTGAGCCCGTCTGTCTTCCAGGGTGCTGATGCACTAATAACTTCATGGCACACATCTGCCATAATATCCTTGCATGTACATTGACGCTTTTGGGGAGAAAGGTCGCACATTAGGAGAGATTACAGAACCGAATCGGGAGTATTATGAGAAGTGATTTCTGATAGCCTGTGACTGCTAGCAAGTAATCTCGACAGTCTGTTGCGTAACTGACGTACTGCGCCTAAAGCTTGCCTTTAGTTCACCAGTGTTTCTGAAAGATTTTCACTCTGCACGTGTCAGGTCGAGAAAGGTGACAGTTTTCAAATCCTTCTCAATGCAACACTTGCATTGTCTCCTTATTGCCGGGTTCTTATTTGTAACTCCTGTAGGCAAGGAAAAATAACCAAAAAGCAGCCACTAAATCATATGCAAATTAGGAGCAAGTATTCTAAAAATACACCCCGGACACAGATTTAGGACATGCGGTTGTACCCCGTGCCTTTATTTCAATGAAAGATGACTGGCATAGACTCACTGAACCATAGACGTGCAGGTGTGGAAGGGACTTCAAAAGGTCGTCTGCTAGGCTGGGCAGGATTCAAGTACAGGTTGGACCTCTCTAGCCTGGCACCCTCGGGACCTGACCAGTGCAGAACCAGAGAATTTTCTGGATCACGGGAGATCAATGTTGTCTAGCAGCATCCCCAACACTTCCACTGCTTGCTGGGCTCTGAGAAGACATTGGGGTAAATTAGAGCTAAACAGCACAGAGCACTGAGAGCCAGGACTGGGGGCTGTGAACAAACTTTATGGGGCTGCGGGAAACTTGGCCATGCCCAGCTAAGGGAACATCCGGCTCACTGAAATCCTGCTGGAGCAGGGGGAGCCGGACTAGAGAGGTTCAACCGGGATGTGTTAGAGCAGCGACGAGAAGAGCAACGAGAATGATGGAAGGTCTAGAAAACATGAGCTAGGAGGGAAGGCTGAAAGATCTGGGTTTGTGCCCAAGGCTCTGGAATCGTGGGTGGAATTCTAGGCTCCCGTGGTCAGGAAGACGAATTCAAAGTGGACTGGAACAGGTTGCTGGGAAGGGCGGCCGGCGTGATGGGAGGACTGGAAGACCTGCCTTACAAGAAGGGGTTTCTAACCACGCACAGGGGGAGGAGAGGTCTGGCTGCTCTCTGTACGTACATCCCGGAGAGGAGTTATTTGTGGCAAGGGCAATGCTGGCCCAGGATCAAACGGCCTCAGTGGAGGCTGGAAATGAGAGGAAAGGTTCTAGCGAGCCGAGGGGGTCGCTGTGGGACTCTAGTGGGAAGAGGGAAAGGCTCAAAGAGGTGAGTGAGAGGCAGCGACCTCGACTTCACCTTCATCTCGAGTGGCGGCAGCAAGATCCCTTGGGGAAAAGGAACCTCACTGAAGGGGGGTGGGTGGGAGCGATCCTGGTCTAGGGGTTTTCTGGCCAGTGCAGGCTGCTCCTGGCTTTTGCTGGGAAAGCTCCTTCTTCGCTTTTCAACCCGTTAGCCTTGGCCACGTGTAGGAATTAGCCCGTGTGTGTTTAGTGCTTTTGTAACCCCCCCGACTTACATGCTTCTGCCCGTGTGATCACTTACAGGCTGCCTTTGCCAAGGCCGTGCCCTTCTTCTGTTGCTTTATCTAAGCCTTGAGGCGGGTTTGGGGATCTGTGCGGAGGGCTGGTGCACAGCCCTGGCACAGCTGGGATGACAAGTGCTGTGAGTCTGCACTGCCCGGGGCCTCTGCGCGCACAAGATGCCCGTTTCCGGGGAGCAAGGCTGGGTGCACGGGTCGCCCGGGGCTCAGCGCGAGAGACATGACACGCGAGTGGCTGAGAGGTTGCTATTCGCTGGCTCACTGGGCTAAGAGGCGGCCAGGCTGGCGTGCTAAGACGACAGCCAATCAATGTCCCATTCCCGGCTTCCCGCGAAGGGAAACACCAGGTTGTGCGCACAGGACGCCCCAGCTCCTCGCCATAAAACTGGAAGCAGGAGCTGGCAACGACAGCACGAATCGGGTAGCAAGTCCTGCAGGCACACCAGTGCTCTGCTTGCACACCCGCCCCGTCACACCTCTGCGGGGGCACCTGCTGGCAGCCAGACGCCCAAACCAGTCGCAGTTCAAACCGGCCAACTCCAAACCGGGGGAAACTCCCTCCTCAGCGTCTCGCCGGACACCTGCAGATTGCGCCCCCCCCTCGGACCACAGCGAATCCGTGTGCCATGGAGAAACGCCAGGCTGAGTTCTGTCAGGCGGGCGTTGTTCCCAAACACCAGCTCGCCCCGGGCACCGCACGGCCCTCAGCGTGCCAGCATCTTTATGGCTGGCCCCGAGCGACGCTTCCTCGGCTCCCGCCCCCGCAGCCTTCCTCTGCTCACCCTACATGGACGGCACCTTCGTCGGATGGACCCACGGGAAAGAGACCTGGAAGAATTCCACAGGGATTTCAACAACCTCCTCCCCCACCAGTCCACACACGAGAGCCGCTCCCTCCACACCCCGGTACAATTCAATGACAGCCACATTTCCACCAGCCTGCCGACCGCTACACTTCCCCGCATGCCTCCAGCGCCCATCCAGGACACCGCACCCATCACCTGTTTACAGCCAGGCCCTAAGGCACAGGCGGCTTTGCACAGACGGGGACAAGACCTCCCTCAGGCATTTGTCACACTGAAATACCCAGAAACAGACTGACCGAGCCAGACGAGTGCCCAGGCATCGGCTTCTTCCAGACAGGCCCAAGAAGGGAAACAGTAGAGCCCCTCCGGTCGTCAGCTACAGCCGCCGGCTCAAACCCTCCGGCGCATGATTGACAGTCTACAGCCTGCCCTGGAGAACGACCCTCCACTCTCTCAGGCCTCGGGGGTCAGGCCAATCCTCGCCCGCAGACAGCCCCTAAGCACAGACAAAGCACGCACACACCTCCGACTCACTCTCCCAGGAACCCACCCCGTGCCAGCTCTGCCCACACAGCTACACCAGCGACCTAGCCACATCAGAGCCTCCGATAACTGCACAGCCACCAATGTGATCCGGGCTTCCAGTGCCAGCAGGCCCCTCGGCCGTGTGCATTGGCCAGACGGGGCAGTCTCTGCGACACAGGGTGAATGGACACAGATCACATGTTGGAGATGGCAACACAGAGACCTGCTGGGGAGCGTTTCAGCTTGCCCGGGCGCTCACTGAGGGATCTCAAAGTGCCTGGATCATTTCCAAGCAATTTCAAAGGTCACCTGGGGAGAGACACTCCAGAGCCGGCTTTCATTTACAAGTCTGACACCTTGGATAGAGGCTCACACAAAGAACTGACCAGGGTAGGCTGCTATTTTCCACGTGCTAAGGACATAAGAAGCCCAGCACTGGGTACTTAGGGTACCGAGAGCCCACTCTGCCAGCCTCATTTAGCATGGACGCAAGCAATTTCAAAGGTCACCTGGGGAGAGACACTCCAGAGCCGGCTTTCATTTACAAGTCTGACACCTTGGATAGAGGCTCACACAAAGAACTGACCAGGGTAGGCTGCTATTTTCCACGTGCTAAGGACATAAGAAGCCCAGCACTGGGTACTTAGGGTACCGAGAGCCCACTCTGCCAGCCTCATTTAGCATGGACGCCCGTGCTGCTAGCCTCTCAGGTGCTGCAGGGCCATTCGCTGTTCTGAGCCTTTTCCCAGCTCAGCCTGGCGCCGTTCCACGGGGCAGCGACAGCTACAAGGAGGCTGCGGTGGGGGCGAGCCCGCCCGCGCAGTCACAGCCGCACTGAATCCCACAGCCCTCTTCTCCCTGCTCGTTGGAGTCCCCATAGGAAAAGGGCCCGGTGGGGCTATCCAGAATCCCACCCAAAGCCACAGAAACCTGGGCCTGGCACTGCTGATTGCCGCGGCCTCCCCAAGGCCCAGCTGCCGCCCTGCGCGCTGTGAGCCTGGCACCCGTTCCGGGGCGCTAGCGGTGAGCTCCAGCGCAGGTGGGGCTGCGGACTGTTTGGGGCCGCGCTGTCTCTTTAAGGATGTATGTGCTGAGCCAAAGGTGGCTGTGCATAATGTCACTAGAGCCCTGCTGAGACTGAGCAGGGATTGTTACAACCCCCCTTCATTTCCACGCTTTCAATGCCCAGACTCCGCGGCTGGCCCCACATTTCTCACACGCCCAGGCGCATTGTTCTTTCTGCTCTAGACAGCGCGTCCAAGGAGCTTTGCTCGCGGCGGCTGGGCTCTCACAGCACGTCTGTAGATTTCACCGCAGACTTGCCCCGGGGCGCTTAGCATCACAAAGCGCTCGTCGAGTAAACCGAGCGGCCAAGGCGCTGATCTCACGGAGCCTCTGCAACGGGAGTTTGAAGAAACACACACAAAGAGCTGAGACGTGAGAGAGCCGGGCAGCCCTTGATGCGGCAGCCGAGTAATGCTGAGCGGCGCTTCAAAGGCAGCGGCTAATCCTCTTCAACCCTTACAAAAATACCAGGCAGTCAGGAAGCCCTAATCTGCAAACGCCCTGAGCACCTGCCGTTCCCAGGGATTTTCCTGGGGCTGGCCGGGCCGACGTGCCTGAGAACCCTTCATGTAAGGCCAGGGGACCAGCATTCCAACCCTCGGCCAAACACCCAACTCCCACTGAAATCAAAGGGCATCTCCGGCCCCTGGGAGACGGGGCACACGTCTCCATACGCGGGAGCCTAGAGACACGATTTCTGGTTTAAAGCCAGAGGGCCCCACTGCGAGCATCTAGCCCGGCCTCCTGCCTCGCCCAGGCCAGAGACCCTCACCCGGCAATTCCCGGTTCAAACCCATCTCTAGTGCCGGAGCGAGTCTCCTAGCAAGGTTCCCCCAGCGGATACCCTGCCAGGCAACGAGCCCGCGCAGCTCCCACAGGATCCCGGCAACTCCCACCGGAAAACTCCTGCTGGAAACACCGAGCTTCACCCCCAGTCTCCACCCTGCAGGAGTTCCCAGCCTCGCCTGTGGGGAGCAGCGCGGGGCCTGGGGCT